AGATTATATAGTTTTTAAGATTCCTAAAACATCAACTCTATTAACCAAGCTGATGTGTAAAAGATATATAATATACCTTTGATAAGCTCTTTATATAAACGTGGATATTATCATGCTCTAGCACATACACACGTACATATATAAACACATACATATTCACACATGTATGCTAAGTATTATAAAAGCTGATTAGGTTTGCTTTACATTTGCCTTCCTTTCATCAACTTTATTTATTCAATTAATGGAATCTGCGCTTCGAATCGAAAATGCCTCTAATTTGTTGTCAAGTCCTCCCTTAAGTTTACAGCCGAATGCTATATGTAAGCCATATGCTGACCTTGAAATGCATATAATGCGTGTACATGGGCATTTGCTTACAGCTGTAGCAAAGAAAACACCCGAAACACCACCGGAAGCTGCTCTTGAGCATGCTCACACACACAAACACACACATGTGTATATATGTGCCTAAATATACACATATAGACGAACTGTGCGCCTGCGCAAATGCTCCCTCTCTCGCTCGCTCGCTCTCTCGAACAGCCCACACGCTCTGCTTGAAGAGAAAGTTTGCTGGTGGGAGAGTTTTGCCTGGAATATGCTAGAAATAGAAGGAATGCGAGTTAGGTAGAAAAAAAACATAAATGAGAAAATGAGCAAAGAGTAAAAATAAATCAAGGACCCGAACTCCGACCCGGATCAAGCAGGCCTTAAGCCTTGGGTACACTTGCTGTGCAAGCAGCAACAGATACACACACACACACACACACACACACATACGCTGGCAGGCAGGCAATACTAAACTAGATTTTTCCCGAGTATTGTTTTTGTTGCTGCATTTGTTTGCCTGCCATTGGTTGCAGCTGCAGCGCTGCCATTGGGATTTGAGGATCTTCGCTTGCCTGCTTTGTGGTGCTTGGAAAATTGTTAAGCTGCGCTCTCGACTAGTGCAGTTTCGTTTGTGTTGCCGTGTGGACGCTTTTCCGCGCGCTTGCGCGTGGGCGTCGTCGTCGGCTTTTCGCTTAACTTTAAGCAAGCTTCAGCTGCAGCTGTGCTGTAGGCACAATGTAAACTTAAAGCTGCGCTTAAAGCTCTGCCTGAAAGCTACAACAACACAAAGCTAAACTGCACTCGAGCACCTGTTTAGCTACAAGTAATTAATTGCTTTTTTAATTATATTTTTCAGATTGCTTGACGCATGAAATGGAGCTGGAAACTTGGAGGAAATACTTGGACAATTTTTAAGAAAATTGGCATTAATCTATTTTCTCTATCTTTTTAGATGTGCGGCAGGTAAAGATAACGAATTAAAACAACATTTTATGGTTACGGTACAAACAAATCACAGCCACCATCATCATGAACACCAACAGCACCACCAAGCACCACCATCACCACCACAACATCAATTCAAATAATTAAAAAAGAAAACACAAACATTTTCATTTTCATTTGCTAATAAACAAGCCGGGAAAAACCAAAAGAAAAGCAGCCAAATATTTTCATTTTCGTTTAATGTTTTTTGTATATAAAAAAAATTATTAATAAATTTTTAAATTATGTGTACTTAGCTTTATTTAATAATTTATCAAAATAATTATGTTTTTAATATTATTTTAATTCTATTTATAGCTTAAAAGTTTAATCTAATAATTTTGCATGCTTTTTTAAGTAACTAATACAAAACATTTATTTATTTATTTTAATTGACATTTTTACTGCATCTAACCCAAGCGATCCAGGTTCGGTTGAAAACTCATCACTTGCTTTTTCATTTGTGTTATCGTGTTTACAATTATATAATATAATATATATAAAAATATTTATATTTATATATGGATATGTATTGATATGTATATATTTATGTATATATATATATATATATATTTGAAACTGTCAGGCAACTGATTTGTTGCAAAAATTTGAGACTAATCGAAAATGTTTTCATCTACAGATCTCAGTCGCAAGGAGAACACAGCACCCGCTTTGGCGGCGGGCGAGATACAGCGCGGCTTGCAGCGCAGCATACTCAATGTGAAGCGCGAGGAGCAGAAGCTGCAGTTGCCGGGTTCGCGGCGTAAGCGTTTGTCTGTCTCCGAGGTATCTGACATGCTATTCGAGTTCTACAAGACCAAGTCGGCCAAGGCGCCGAAGCAACAGCAGCCACAGCAGCTGCTGCCACAGGATGCTGTCGAGCTGAGTAAGTACGGACAGGTGTCGCCGACATCGGCGGAGACGTTGGAGCCATCGAGCATTGCTGCGATCGCTGTGTATGGTGCTGCCTCTGAGACGGCTTCAAAAAACTTGATGGCTGATGAAATGCAACAACTGAGCGCTGCCGCTGGCGCTGGACCATTTCATCCACGCCTCAAATACTCATTGAAGACAGCGGTGCCCGCCGAGCTTAACCTGCCCAGCGGCATAACGGCCATACCCACCTCCGTGTTGGTGGCCAATACAGCTGTTGCTGCAGCAGCAGCAGCAACGGCACCTGTTCACAAGCCACCAGCTGCGGCCATAGCCGAGGCTCTGATGCGCAACGGCCTGCACAGCTTCCAGCAACAGCTGCGCGCGCAAGAGATCCTGCGCCAGCAGACGCCGCAGCGTCGCCTGACCGAGGAGCCGGACAACAATGGCAGCGCCAACGATGTAACACCCACCAAGATCTTGGAGAATCTATTGCGCAAGCAACAGCAGCGCGATATGCGTCACTCGGAGTGCGAAAACGAACCGGGCTCCTCCACCGAGGATGAGGACGATGCACGCTACGGCGCCTTTGATGATATACAACTGATGGATCAGTCGGGCGGCGGCGTTGGTGTCGTCGGCGGCAAATTTGGCAACTATGCTCTGAATATGTTCACCTCAAATGCGAATAGTTCGTCGGGCTCGATGAAGGAGGCACAGGCGCAAGCCTTTCGGCAGCTAGAGTTCACGTTGAGCGACTATGGAGGGAGCAGCAGCAATGGCAGTACCACCAGCCCCAATGGCATCGGCGTGGATGGGGAGCCCGTGTACGAGTGCCGTCACTGTGGCAAGAAGTATCGCTGGAAGTCGACGTTGCGCCGCCACGAGAATGTCGAGTGCGGCGGCAAGGAGCCGGCTCATCAGTGTCCCTATTGCCCGTACAAGTCGAAGCAGCGTGGCAATCTGGGCGTTCACGTGCGCAAACATCACACGGATCTGCCCCAGCTGCCCAGCAAGCGACGTTCCAAGTACTCCATGACAATGGAAGGCGGCGGCGTAGGTGGTGCTGGTGGTGGAGGCGGCGCGTTAAGCCTCAGTGGCTCCATATCGGATGACTCACAGGGCAAGCTGATCATTGACTGCAATAAGTGATTGCGAATTACAAGCTACGATTCATACCAAATACACAAATACTAATGCATACGTGACATATGCGGGCGGGTCAACGACGGGGGCAACACTTGTAACTTCCACTTAAATTGATAATGTTCTTTGCGCAGTTTGAAACAGGAGATGCGTCTCTGTTTCTTTTTAATTTGTCTATAGAGAGAACACAAATTTATATCAACTATTTCTTGTCATTTTGTGTGTCATCCCCCCCAAAAAAAAAAACAACAAAAACAAAAGAGAAAAAAGCAAAAAAGCAACTTTAATTATTTTATGTTTAATTGTATTATTATATTTATGTTTTTGTAAGCAGTGCAAACAATTCTAATCAAGCATATAATCAAAATCACAAATGAAACCAATCTAGTATTAAGTCAACGACATTTTCAAACGTATTATTTACACAATTTTTTATAGTCTAATGAAAATGTATTTCCAACAGCAAAAAAAATAATGAGTGCGAAAGAGGAAGAGAGCGGAGAGTCGACGTTGATATTTTGCAAATTGATATTTTTTATTGTCTTAAGCAAATATTTAAATATTTTTGTATGGACTTTTAACTAAGCGATTTTCAACTCCATTTTGGACCACATACGGAAAGACGTTCACAGTTAAGCCCACCTTATCTATAATAATAAAATGCCAAAAATTAAGCGTTTTATTTGACTCAATATACTAACAGAAATATATAAGAGAAACATCATATCAAAATCTTGACCCAATTTTCACCTTACCCAAATAACTTCTGTGCCTAAAGATCTCTTTTTATATGTATTTAAACATTGCCTTATCGTATCTATAATAGACTCTGACAATACAAAAATTCAAATCTGGCTAAGCTTTCTACTATAAAAAAAAACTATTCATGCCCAAATATCTTTCAATATATTAACTTCAGTTCGTCTATCTACATAATACTCAAACCTGTTCACTAAAAAAAACTTAGATATATCTATTTGTAATCCTATCTATACATACTCTAAAAAGAAGATAAGAGACATATCATATCCAAATCTTGCCCAACACTCCAACCTTGTCCCAAAGATCTCTTGTTTTTTTTAAATATTTATTTAGTTTATCCTTAAACTTTGCCCAATCTACGATCTCCTCGATCTATGCCATATTAGGTATTTATATTATTTAAAAAATTTTGACTGATTAATCATTCGTATATTTTAGATTATATATTATGTATACAAAAAATCGCCAATCATTTTGGATTCAACAAATTTATTATTTTAAAAAACCAAATTCTTACTATATTGACTTTTTAAGACTGAAAGCAATTATATTTAGGTTTTTTATTTTACAATGACCAAAAAAAAAAAGAAAAAAAAATTATAAGAAAATTTTAATATGATTCCCAGACCAAAAAACAAATACTTTTTATATCCAAATGTATTTTTTATCATATTTTTAATATATAAAATAATATTTTACCTGCCATTTTGCGTAGAAATATTATGATTACAATTTTTCCAAACGAATGGATTGAAATATATCTCCATGAAGACATTTTTTAAGAATTTGTTGGCAGTCAAACTGTCAAAGAGGAAATCTGCTAAGACATGTATTACCATTAATCTATATATATATTCACACCCTTTGAATAAAACACGATAATCTTTTACTTTTACAACTATATATATACTTGATTTTATTATGCTGCTTTGTACTTTAGAACTGCATTAACATTACACGATGTGTGTGAGATTACAATGTGATTGGGAGCGGGGGAAATTAACAGTAGATTTTTAACCAAATGCACCATAGGTAAACGGAATATAGTTTTGTTATCTTCAAAAGGCTTTGAGAGTGCGTGTGTGTAAGAGTGGTCGTTAGAGTTCCAAATAGTTCGAGTCATCTTCAATAAGAACAGCCGATGGCGACACTAAGGAAATCCTCAAAGGCAATGGTAATGGTTCCATTCTGTTGGGTATCGCGCTGTCTGAATGCCTCGGTAAAGCGTTGTATTTGCACGCAGAGTACTATAAATTGATCCACAGATACCTCTTTATTGTTCTGTGGATCACTTTTCTTGACCAGAAAATTGATGAATTCCGGCGTGAAACGAAAGCCCATTTGGGTAAATGCTGTAAAAGAAACAAAATATAAAATTATATATATATAATTTATTATAAACTATCTTCAATAGTTCACCTTGTGTCAGCTCGCCTTCCTCAATGTGACCGGAGCCATCCTGATCGTAGGTCTTAAACACCTGCAGCCATTGATTGATGTAGTTGTAAAGTTTCTCGAACTCGTATATGTCGATTTTGCCACTGGCGTCGTTGTCGAACATGCCTGCAAGGAAGAGAGCATATAAAAGTTTTGATAAACACAATAAACCGTTAAATAAACAACCCAAAAATGTTTATCAAGTCTAGTGCAAACACCTCTATTCGTCATTCTAAACAAATATACAAGTCTTTAGATATTGAGGGTCAGCTGGCAAATACTTTACTACCTACAAAGGCATGTTTATTTGTATTATGTTTTATGCGTAATTAACTAAGTTAATTTGAAATCTAAATTTAGCCGTTCCTCATTCAACGAGCACCACCCTTTATTCAAATAAGAATCATTTTCCGCCAATCTATTGCCAATACTCCAGTTTTTCAAATAAGAATCACCTTATTCTCCCATTCTTACACCTTTCACTGACTCATTGCTCAATTTCATATCCGTAGAGGGACTTACTTATCATCAGCTTGCATGCGTTGTCCGAGAACTGTTGGCCTCGCCCATTGATCAATGCCGCCTTCAATTCTGAGGCGTTAATGTGCCCAGATCGATCCCTGTCAACCATGGCAAACCACTGATGAGCTTGTGGTGAAACTTGTGCGTTTTGAGGCGGAAATGCGCCTGGAGGGGCAGCATAGCCACCGCCTGGCTGTCCATAGGGATTGTAACCGCCGCCCTTAAGTAAATTAAATTTATGAAATCTTTCTAATTAGATTTACGCGGTTTGTTCTACTTACGTAGGACATTTTACTTGATGGAATTTGACTTTGATGTTAATTAGTTAGACCAGAAGCACGAAACACGGTAGGGAAAGCACAGCTGGAAATCAAGTGCGCTGTATGTGCGTGAGGCACACATCGATAAATTACGTGCGGCGCAGTGCTGCTTTTCGATATATTTGCAAATAAATTGTTTTCGAGAGGCCGGCATAAACAAGCAAAAATTATCAGGAAAAATGTCGCATTTTGTAAATATGGAAGTTTTCTCAAACTATCAAAAGTATATAGACCATGAACAGGAGTTGCGTGAGGTGGATATCAATGTTAAATAATTCTAAACAATAGTCATATTGTATTGTATACATTCCACAGAATATACGCATCGTGGTGCGGGAAATAGAGCACTTGGCAAAGGAAGCAACAATACAATTGCAAGTTATACACTGTGATTTAAGCAAAAGTAAGTGATTATCATTAGCCATAAGAGATAATATTTGTAATATATACATTGCTAATGTACAGTTGATGCTGCCTGCAGCTTATCGCGCAAGCAAATTGAAGCCTGTGCTGAGAAGTATCAAAAACTATCCGCCTTGGTTCCACCTGGCCAATATTACCGGTAAGCGTTTTTTTCGAGTAGTCTACTGTAGGCGTCTTTTGTGCTTTTTTGCTAATGTTTCTGCACACACACACAGCTATTCCGATCATTGGACATACATTACGCAGCGTTTGATATTTTTGATTGCTCTTGTTATTTACCTGGAGGCGGGTTTTTTGGTCACCCGCGAAACGGCGGCTGAGATGCTTGGCTGTGAGTAAATCAGATACAACATTCGATTATATTTTCTGTTATATCCGATTTCAATCTCAAAATAGTAAAAACCAAACATTCGGATGGCTTTCATTTGGATATTGAGGACTATTTGCTGGGTATTTTGCTGCTTGCATCGGAACTATCTCGCTTTGCCACCAATTCTGTTACAATGGGCGATTACGAGCGACCTTTGAATATATCCCATTTTATTGGCGATCTAAATACGGGCTTTCGTTTGCTCAATATGAAAAATGATGGCTTGCGCAAACGCTTCGATGCTTTAAAATATGATGTAAAGAAGATCGAAGAGGTTGTCTACGATGTCAGTATACGCGGTCTATCCAACTCAGCTGAGAGCAAGGAACAGCCTAAAGTGGAGTCTGCCGAATAACTTGAGCAATATTTGCATAGGCTAAACTTAAATCAAACAAAAGACACCATGAAAGACAGTATCATTTTAAGTAAAACTTCAACATCAATAATAAGTTAACAAGTGGTTTTTCATCTTTTAATACCATAGAAATTAATTCGAATTCGAAAATAAACTAATTGCTTGCACATGGTCACCCTATTCTAGCAACCCCATACACACGCTCTCGCGATCATATGGTTGTCGCTCGAATTTCGAATATTCCAATCGCTCTTTGTAACTTTTGCTGCTCGCGCCATTTACAGCTCTCCGACTAGAGTCGGCTCCTCAGTCTCTTTTAGTCGTTGGCTCGGTTACAATATTGCGCGCGCGTCTTTGCCGTTGCCGACATTTTACTTTTGTGCTTGTGTTTGCGTCTTGTGTGTTTTTTCGTTCCGCTTTACTTTTAAGCGCAATTGGATTAAGCGCGTATATTCAGTTAGCTACTAAACGAGTTCTTTTCAATACAAATGTAAGTAAAGGATTATTTATACTCTAGTGTATGTACAGACATGTATGTATACATAATAAAGTGAAAACAAAACACGTCTCGTCTCACGCAGGCGCCGTGCATTCACCTTTGACTTGACTGCTAACATGAAAATTATGTTTTGGCCTAGCAACCTACTCTTAGCTGCATTGCTTAATACCATCAACAATAACAACAACAACTGCATCTTCAACCAGTTTCTGTAATTTGGGTCACAAGCAAGCCCCTCTTTTCCATTTTCCACTCATATGCGCAGCCGCTTGGAAACTTGTTGTGAAAAACAGAAAGAGAGGGCGCAAATATAAAAACAATTATTACAAAACAGTGTGTTGCTGTTGATATTTATTTTCTTGTTTATTTCAATTTTATTTGCTGATTCGCACGCTAAACCAGGTTCAAAGTCCAAAAACTACACATCGTCTCGCGCTCAGTTGAGTGGGTGAACGCGAAAGCTCGTTGAGAGACAAAGTCTCAAGCACAGCATTGTAAACATCTGTAAAATACTTATACATACGTAGAAATCACATATACACGCGCATAATGGCAGGCCAGCAGGTGTTGGTGTGTGTGTACATGCGAGTGTGTATGGCAGCGCTCAGTAAGCTAATTGAAAAGACAACAATAAATGGCTAGACCTGTTGTAAATATCATGTACAAAAAATCAAAACAAATGGTTTTTCTATCAAAGTTTAATTAATTTGTATTCCATTTCTTTTTGATCAGACATTTTGCAATTGTTTTGTATTTATTACAATTTAATTTTATTTGGGCTTGTTTACACTATCGACTCACTTCAGCGAGCACTTGTGAATGATATGCGAAAGCGTGGCAGATTCGAGTTTGAAATTGACTTAACGGGTTCACTCCCCTCAGTGGCTGACGCCGTTGCTCGCTCCGCATTTTAAGTTGTGTTCACAGTTCAAAGTCCAAGCTCAATTGTTTTTAACGTGGCTGTGGCACATGCCGATTGTACGACTCAAAAATGTTTACGTTTTCTCAAGGCTGAACTATAAAATCCATATATATTTTTTTTAAATTTCACTTTATCGTTCAATAACTTGAGGGGAGCTTAAGGTATCAAAGACTCCTACGAATTTCTGATAAGGCCGAATTCGGCCAAACTGTCTGATAACCGGCTTTTGTTGTCTGCGACGAAGTTCCAACTAGACTCCTGCAGTGCGTCACAAATTGTTGGAAGTTTATTTCGTAGTAAAATTTGGCAATATCTTAGAATTTGGCATATCAATCCGCGTGCCGCCGCTTATCTTCTAATTTATTGCGTTCTAGTTTATGGCACTTGCTAAATTTGCGAGACAGCAAAATTTCAATTGAACTTTAGACAGGCTGCTAATGCGATAAAAAACACACACATTGAAAACTAAACTTATATCTTATCGCTACCTTTTAAAAAACTATTTATAATGTCAAAAGATCAGATCTCACAGGGGGCCTCTAGCAGAGCGAACTACTTTATATAAGTCGACTGATAAGCTAAACTATTGATAAATATAACAACAAAAGCACTATCAGTGTCGGTTTCTTGAGTTTTAGTTGAAAAACGAAACCTCAAGGGCGAAAAGTTTATGTTACTTTATATATATATAGATATATGTATGTCTATTGAAAAGCAAAATCTTAAATTGGAAAGCGTTTATTAAATTGTTTACTATTCTATAGGTTTGTTAAACAAGATAGGATTGTTAGATTGAGGTTGACAATGATTAAACAGCTTGTCATAGTTAAAGAACTTACATTTTCGAAATTACATGCATTTGTTTAAGCTATTGTAGTTTCAATCTCGAGAGAGTCATATATTATGGATAGAAATTTGTTAGCGAGAGAGTTAAAGTTTAGAGAAAAAGTAGTTTTAAAATTAATTTAAAATTCAATGAATTGTTTATTAAGCGAATAATATATATATATATATATATATATATATATGTATGTCTAATAGGGGTATTCTGCTCCAAATATTTCAAGATTCAAATTTTGTAACCTTTTGAAATTGAATCAATTATACTAAAAATCTGATTACTGATCAAAATGCATCTATTTGTCTGTTGCAAACAGTTGCACAACAATATCATACCCTGCAATGGGTACAGGGTATAGAAAGACACTTGTATAGCTGCTCTACCTGCCCTGCCCTGTCCTGTCTTGGGCTTGTTTAGCTATAGGAATGATATATATATATACAAAAATATTTTGTACCACGTCTATGCTGTCCGGCGACAGTTCAAAGTGCAGAAAGTCTAAATATAAGCCCAACATGTATTAGTTGTAGCATTTCAATCAGTTAGTGTGATAAACGTATTATATATGTGCCGCAATAATTTCCCGGCTTCCCGGCAAACAATCCACATTTCAGTTCTCGCGCTATTCCATAAATCCGCAGTCAGTGCTATGCCATATATTATATTTATAGTTGGACAACAACACACACAAATATATATATATATATATTTATTTAAGTATACTTGTGTGCTTGTATTTAAATGTATTTGTTGGTCGCTGAAGGGGGTGTGTGTTTGCATAAGATGGAAATGCCTTGGGTCAATTTATTGATATGCGCAAGGCGTTACAGATCTATATATATACATGCATACATATCATACATATATAGTATATGTATTGCATTGGAATATACTATGTATAGTTATTGTTAAATTTGTATCGTTTCGCCGGTCGGTTAAGAGTCTCTCAGATATTCTTCTGGGTGCTGCGAGCCCCTCTTTTTATACCCTGTACTCAATGCAAAGCGAGTAGTATGAAACGCGGGTAGAAAATAATAAAACTCTGGAATTGATCTAGCTTAATTGTCCCCATAGATAGAAAATAAGCAAAGCTATAAATGTCAAATTGTATATATGTGTTCTTCAATAGTATAACATAAAATGGAATATATAATTTGTATAAGAAATTAATTTTTTTATAATATAATAGTTTATATGCTCATACCTGCAAAACTTGAAACAGAAATTGTTCAAATATGGCATATACACATTTTATATTATGTATATGGTCCGCTCAGTTCTAAGTACAGGGTATCTACAGGTCGATCGCCACTCCGAGCACTCTTCTTTCTTTGTTTTTCCTAGCTGTGACGCAGCAGCGACACACTCTAGCGATGTCTTATGTGCGTTTCTAGCTCTATCTGTATCTGTATCTGTATCTGTATCTGTTGCTATAGATGTAAATGTATCTGTGCCTGTAGCTGTATCTGTGACTGTTGCCGGCGACGGCTGTTTGCTTTGGCGAGACCCCATGCGCAGCGCTTGCCACGAAGTGGAATCAGTTGACGCTCTGCGCTCAAGCGATCAAGTCGTTTCGTTCATCTTCTCTATTCTCGTACCGCTCGAAAAGTATCTGAAAACAGAACAA